ACGATTTTCTTGTACTTGTTGAATGCTCGATTTCGAATTCCAAATACAGTACATTCGTTTGTGTTAATGTAGTACTCCTTGATTAAATAGCGTTACTTCTAAGATTCCTAGTTTGTACTATAATTCAAATACTTCTAATTGTCACATAGACTTAGTGTCAAATTCTAGACTTGCTTTGATACAACCACCTAACCTATAAAATCTTACGTGGAAGTCATAATATTGTGTATACCGTGTCGTTCTATCGCGACAGTTAACGTTATGCTTTTTATGACTTTTGAATAACGCATTTGGGCTGGGGAGAGAATAATATATTTAAAGATGCCACAAGTAATTGGAGTTTGACAACACCTGAACCAGTAACATCTTTTATAATCGAAACGTGCCAACCCAGTGAGATCAGAAGTCATAAGCGAAGAGGTTCAAAATATGTTTGATATGCTATCGATATATATCGAAAAGTGACTGATATAAGCAGGCTAGCGGTTACAGAAGAAGTGGAACACAACGTAATCACTGGTGTGGATGTGTGACCGAGCGCCTTCAGTTAAGTCAGTTTTTTAAAATTAATGTGGTCAGCATCAAACGTCGAAAATTTACAGACCTATTAATTTTGGGGATTTATTTACCGCTACATATTTAATCTGAAAGGGGAGAAAATATATAGCGTAACCACGCACACATAACGAAGCCATGTCATACCGATTGAATGTTCCTGCGTTCATTTTTTCTCTGACCGGTATTAATGCACTTATTTATGTTACTACAGTAACTGATTTATTTGATTATTGTGGATTTGTAGTGGCATTGAACTGTAACCACATAATATCTAAAGCCGAGTATTAAATTACTGAAATGAGTTATGTCCAACAATTGACACGAAGCAAAGGTTAGGAATAGAGAAGTCGGGAATATTCAATTCACTTTACTCAGATGACATGGCTCAGCGTTGCAGACGTGGTCATTCTGTATAACTTGTCTTTGCTCATATTAAATATACTATTCTATCTTTAGCCTAAATGTGTTTTTTACAAACTTTAAACGTTATATCGCGGATTGTTATGATACGACGAGTCCGAATACACAATGATGTGACTTCCACGTAAGATCATATAGATTAGGTTATCACACTATGACATATCCGCAATTTTAGGAATAGGTATATTATTGTAATAGTACTAATAACGAAGTAGACCTTAATTCTATATGTTTGTCGTCACTCACTAACGATTCAAATTGCGGTTTCGACGGACACATCAAGTTCGATACTCTAAAAGTTTCCTCCTCTTGTGTAAAGAATCACTTACGGAGAAACGTAAAGTCAACGCAAGAACTAATAACCATCGCTTACTGTCATCTGTACCAATCTGGATGCACGTTCAATGATAAAGAAAGATTTGCGTAATGTTGTTCTGAGTTCAAGTACCAGGTTGATCGTTCCAGTACGGAATTTTGAACGGCCGATGATGTCATTTTTAAGGCTTTGAGATGTGATGATTTATGTTATGACTAAGCTTTTTGGACGTTGTTACTGGTGGAGACGCAAGATACCAGAAATAACTTGAAAAACGTTTTGGGTTTGTGGTTTTTGTTCGTCAAGAGCGCCCAGTTTGTGTTCCCTAGACAGAGTGGCCTAAAATGTTATTGGTTCGTTTCCACCTTCAGTCCACTGTTTTATGAAACTTTTCAATGACACTTTTTTACTGCATGTGCACTCAGCGTGATACAATTATGGTTCAATGTGGCGGTCTCTAACACCCCGAAAGCCACATCATTCATAACTTGGGGATATAAAAATCCAACATTATTTCGTGTGGGAGGATAGTGTTGAAAAATCTATGGTTCGAATTCGAGATATTAATGATTTCAGTACAAAACCGACATGCTGATTGTATACAATCCCAGGTGAGTCTGTTCCGATTCCATTACTAATGAGCATATTCTAGATACTACAAAGTTTTTATCCAATACAATGTCGGACAGACTCAGGATGAACTTAAAAAAGTCGTACAACCGATTACAGACACTTATACACTTATTTAAGCTGTGGCGGATGTGGTGTTTGAATTGACTAATGATACCTTTGTACTTGTTGATTGCACGATTCCGAATTCCAAATACAATACATTCGTTTGTGTTTGTGTCTTCTTAATTCAATTGCGTTATTTCTTGGACTCTTATTTCGTGCTATAATTCAAATAATTCGAAACATTATAGAATACCATCCTAGCGGGGATCTCGAGGGTCTCAAGGTATCTCTCTCTACCGAAGACCACTTAAGAGCTACCATTCGTGCTTTACAAGTGTTATCATTAGAGATGCAGATCACCTCCAGGAACAACTCGAACCTTAAGCAAACGGTAAATTACGGTATCAACGGTTGGCTACCTACCGTTTATGACGGTGACATGAGGCAGCTTTATCGTCTTTTGGATTCGTTGTGTGTCGTAAATGAATGATTAATGTTTGGAGAGAGGGTGGTTGTGCCGGAATTCTTACGATCAGAGGTGCTAAAGGAGTTTCATATTGACCATCACGGTATAAAACGAACGACGTCCATGGCTCGAAATTGTGCATGTTGGCCGCTCATGAGCCAGCACTTCATAGAGTTGACAGGTGTATGCAGTCAGTGCCAACAACGATGGTCAAGGTGCTAGTGCTGTTGACAGAAACCTCCCTAAACAGGTTGCCTGGTGTAATTCAATCAGATAATAGTTCACAGTTCACTTCCAGCTAGTTTTAAGGATTCTACCCACGGCTGTCCACCAAGTACTTCCGCTCTTCTCTTTACCATTCACAGTCAGATAACAAAGCGGAAAGTTCTTTGGACGCGTTTAAAAGGGCTTACCTAATTCAAAAATGGTAACGTCGGTCGAATTAACATAGAACTTCTTATCTGTTTATCGAACGACGCCAAACAGAGCGTTACCAGGGCAGATGTTTTTCAACAGAGATCTTCATATGGAGAAGACTGAGGATGATCGAAAACCTTATGTAACCGGCATCCACACCACCAGCCCAGATTGAGCTTCAGAAGCTGCCAACGTATGGGGTTGGATGTTGCGTGTTCACTAGAGATTACAGTTCGAAACACTACCCATGGATGAGGAGCGTCCATGGTCGGTAGGTTAGGCTAAGTCATGTGTGAAGCAGGAGGGGACATGTGAACTCGGCACCAGAACCAGCTACGGAAACCGTTGACCCCAAGTCACTCATCGGGAAGCAGAAGTCTTTCGAAGGAAGTCCCACTTGTTACCTTCAGCGTACTCACAGTCTCAAGGAAAGAAGTTCAAAAACAAATCGACCCACGTTCCAGAAGGTGGTCATGTAGCGGTATCGGTTCCTCTCTACAATATAATAATGATAAATCAGATTCTGTGTAATTGAGAAAAATATTGAGTTGACCTTAAAGAAGGAAAGGGAAAAAATAAGAGGATAGAAATAAAGGAGATGCGAAATAAATAAATGGTTTAATAAGCATGTTTATGAACACATAACAAAAATAAACGACTACGTATGTATCGCCAAATGAGTAGCAAAAATGTGATTAAAACAAATTCAATAAGAAAAACAACTCGTTATTGCAGTAAGATATGACGTCAGACTAAGTGATTGTGCAGTCATAATTTGAGGTGATGCTTTGAAAATCTCAATTACGTTCAAAGGAGAACTGAATATCAATATTTTGAGTCATATATACATGGTGAAAATAAAATGAGCTTGAGAAGTTAACTCAGGATTAACAAAAGTTATTGTCTTATTTACACATTCCGGAATCTTAATAATAATATTCATATAGAAGGAAAAGAGAGATATAGAAAAGAAATGGACACCTAGTGAAAGGGTACAACCATGATAATAAGGGTGTAGTGAATAGTATATTATTATTATGTTTATTTAAGTGTACTATCGGATAATTTGATTTTTGTTTGTTTTTAGTTATAGGTGTTTAGGAATAAAGTATGTTTAAAAAAACAAGAAAAAATTTTGGACCCAAGATTAGCACGGAGCCATTATTTCAAATACATTGCAGATGTGCTTAGAAAATGTTCGAAAGGAAGTAAACAGAACGGTGAAAGAGATTTCTGACCTTTTAGTAACTCCGTCACTTGTTTTCGATATTTACTATGGGTCACTACGCTGTCTAAAAATTGGTTTACTGTTTGCTGTACAAAGATTTTGTCAGTAATGTCTCATAGCTTTCTTCCACTTTGGATTTGTCACTCTATAAAAGACCATCGGTAAGTCCATTGACTAGGATCACACAGTCTACGCTGAAAGTTTTCATTTTTCTAATCAATTCGCGAAATGCTGAAATTCACCAGTTGATCACACGTATCTTAATACTAAAACAGTGTCAAGATATGTATAGTACCAGAAGTCATGAGGTTTAATACTTCTTGAAGCCTTTTAATTTTACTCTTTATCGACAAATTCCAAAAAGTTAGTCGAAAACTACTTTAGGCCTTGTGATACAGAGAGGATCCTTTCTATAGACTGAGAAAAACCCCCAAAGAGACTCATTCTTTGAATCTTCGATGCCATTGAAGCCTCTATTCATTTTACTGGATTCACCGTATCGAACGACTCTCGATCAACCATTCCCACTCTATCAAGATTGACTATTACATGGTATCCATCCGCAATTCTACCAGCATTGAATACTCGTAACATTTTTACTCATATAAGCACTACCTATTATGGATTTCAAACTTATTCATGATGAAAAGGAATACATCGGACCGTACCAAATTGTCTCAACATTAATCGCAGGAAAGTAACAGTCTCCTTAACAAGGTTCGAAGACAACAATACGTTACTGCTGATTCTATGCTTGAAAACTTACCATAATCGTAGACCACAAATGTTTATCAAATAATTTATATTTCTGCTAGTGATTGTTTCATATGTTGAGATGGAGAAAATTTTTTGATTTCAATCAAGTTTGTTTAAATAATTGCAACGACGGAATATTCGCGGTTTAACTTGTGGGACGTCTCTTTTGAAAGTTCCGCTAATAAAAGTGAGCGCAAATCTAATTTTCCCGCCAGTGTTTTCCGCGGAATTTTCACTTTTATGGATCCTTATAAAATGTATATTATATTTTATCAGAAAGCAGCTAACGCTTTGTGAAGATTTACCTGCTTACAGCTTTCGAAATAAGATACGGATTGCTAAATCTGCTGTCATGAGATTTTACGAATTATGATATGAAGCTTGTTTAATAGGATGTACCCAGATGAATCATCTTACTCGTGAGTGTTCATTGTACTTATTTACAGCGGCTGGAAGCTCATGCATATCACATTAGTTTTTCGATCCCGTCTTCACCATTAATAAGTTTTCTTAGTGTTTTATTCACATAGTATGTCGTTTGTGTTGAAGGTTAAAAAGGTTTCTCGACCTTAAGTCACTATTCTACAATGTTTATTGGGTACTCAGTTTGTTTGAGGACTCCTAGAAACGTAGTGGTTACGTTATCTCGTCAGTGGTGCAGAAAGAATTTATTGTGATTACTCTGAGTGTATTGAGTTTCAGTTTGTGAGTATTAGAAAGTAGCTTCAGTGACTGACGTGTTTGTTTCATTATATTTGATGGTCAGGCCAAACGTTTGCAAATTCTGTCCAACCTCGCAGTTCATCCATCTAATTGTTCATGTGATAACAATCGGACGAGGAATTTCTGTCATTGGTTATTTCACTATCACTTGCATATTCTGCATTTTTATATAAACTTAATGTGATTCATTGTTCTTAATCTCAGTATACTATGATTTCTACATAGTGGTTTTCAAGTTTTTAAAGATAACTTTGTAGTGTAATCAGTCACATCGTAAAACCTGCACATATGTACATCCGTTCAAGCTGCTATACTTTGTTAGCATATAGGTTGTCAGGACGAATTCCAGTATAGTAGAGGTAGTAACAGTATTAGTGGTAATAGGAAAGATCAGGGATCGAAGATATGACTCTATGGAAATGTAAGTTACCAAAATATCGTTATGAGGAGTTTAAAATCTTAGGAGGGATACAGAAGATGGACTTCAACCAGGTTTTCTACGCATTATCATGGACTGATACCATGTTTTTGGTTTAGCCGCCCATAGCTTCCCTCCACCTTACTGTTAGAGCAGAAAACGTCACTCGTCGATGTAGTTGGTAGGTGAGGATACGTAACACATGCCCTGGCTATCTCAGTTGATGAAGGTTCACCAACTCATCAGTCGATTTCCCACCTTTACCTAGTACTCTATTCTTAAGCTGGGCATTGCCTACTCTGTGGTCACAAAATACACGAGGAACGCTTCCTAGACACCTATGATCGAATACCTCAACTCTTAATGCCCATGTCTCACACCCACAAAGAAGGACGGAGCGAACTGCTGAGGAGTAAACTCGCAGGTTAGAAAAAACCAAAACAGCCTTCTGAACTATTTCACTTCCTATAATTAATTCAAGCGGTAACAGGCCAATCCTGAAGTAGCATTTTATATTCGAAGGGGAAAAACCGCATCTCAAACATGCTCACTTTGGTTAAGATGGTTAGAATGTATTTTTCAGTGCCTTCACCTAACAGAACTATATCATGCGCTCATTTTAAGTAGGGAAGTAAAGCTCCTAGTAGAAAATTAACCACTAAAGTCAGACAATGGAAGTGTTATCTTTAAGAACCTGCATATTTCAGAGTTAATTAAAATTGGAGAAAGTGGACAACCCTGACGAACATACTTGAAGTAACCGATTTAAAATGACAGTTCGCCATAAGCTCTAACCCAACAAGAAGTGTTTGAGTAGAGAGACTCTACAAGGTTAATGTACATTAGTATGCCTTTTAATGACAGACTACCATAGAACCTCACAATCAACAAAGTCGAACGCCGCCTAATAGAAATGGAGTATATTTATAGTAGGACGTCGAAGGGTCAATATTTGATCTATAGTAGTAGTAATAGTGTAAAGTGCAATCTCATTTTTGACGCTTTATTTCTCTGGTTATTACTTCATGTCAATCAAGTAAGATCACTAGCAGGATCAGGAGTGACAAAATTGAGAACATTGATTCTCACAATACATTTAGAAACTATTCTTTCCAAGATATTTCTGGCTTGGGTAATTCTTTACTAAACTTCTTACTGTAGATTGTAATCCAAGGTGAATACAAGAAATCTTATCATGGTGATTAAATCTTACCGCTTAGTAACATGCACTATTTATTTATTTAAATATAAACATTGGTATAAATAGATAAGTCATTCAATTTATGTGAGGGCTGGGATACTGCCGGGGTGCCCAATCCAAAGCAGGTGGTTTTCTTAGCGGGCCACACCCCGAGCCTTTAACCTAAAATTCCAATCCACAACGCAGTGGAGCAACGTAAGGAGATGCAGTCCCATGTTAGCCGGTGACCAACAATAGGTTCATACGCCATTTGTTTCCTTAGGATTCCGGAGCCCACGTGCATCATAGGTTCGGAGTCATGGTTTTCCAACTCTCCTAGGTGGATTCTCCGTATCCACCAACCCAGTTAAAGCGCCGGACATTCGCTTTTCGTCCTCTTAATTTCATAAATAATGCCGCGAGAAAACAGTGAGTAGGACTTCCCTGGTAGTGGCTATATATGCGTGGCCATGTGAGAGCATTTCGAGAGGGTGAGCTGATTCTCCCGACTCTCGGCCGTACCAGGGCATTTTGGGGCACTAACTTGGATTCGAATCACTAGCACGTTTATTTAAACTTTCATTTAATCCAAGGCTTCAATGCATTTACTGTTTGGATTGTAGTTATGTTTCTAATGTACATCTTCAAACATTCACGATAACCAGGAGTTTATCAGTATTCTTTGCTGGGAAATCTCAAGTGATAAAGATAGACTACTTTAAAGTGTTTTGAACATTGTTTTAGAATAATTCGAATCAATTTCATAGAAATTTTATTCGTTGGATAAGATTGTTATGTATTCAGCCCCAGCACAACTTGAGGAAGTGCTGTTATAGTTGTCCTTGCATTGGTCACTTTCCGACCAACCACGCTTCTGAAAGATATTGGTTTGGAAACGCGATAGCAAGTTCAAAGGACAACGTTTTACGACGTCACTCAACCTGATCACCATGTCATTATAGCTGTCTCACCCTTTACTCAACCACTAGATCAGCTTGTTTGTATGTGATCTTACTCACTAATTTTTAACCAACGGCTAATCGGGTTATTTCTAATATAACCTCATATTTCAGATGGACCCTTATGGAGCAGTATCGGCAGATCTATTCGACATACCAGCTGCGGAACAAGAAATAACTGTTGGGTCTAATGATCAACCAATTGTATCAGGCAATGCAAATTTACCAGGAGTTGGACATTCTGCTGTATCTAGTGCAGGGACCATCACCATGGGAGCAGATGGAACCCTACACTTTCAAAAGGCACCATCTGGTCAACAAGGCCCACGCGTCATTATGTTGCAGAGGAGTGCCCCAGGGTCTGGACCGACTGTGCCAAACTCGCCGGTTCAACGCCCAGGATTAAAGGTAACTTTATGCACCAGATTATGTATATTTACAACAATCATTTTAACACTAAAGGTTCCATGGCGTTATCCCTAAAATAATTATTTGACATGATAACGTTATAATTGGTGCTTAGTGGTATAATTTATCTTCGTTTACTCTGTAAAGCCTATAGAGTATTCTGTTAATCACATGCTTTTTCTCTTTTTAAGACTGTGAAGATAATTACTGTTCCGGGTCAAGGTGCTGGAGGTAAACCTCTAAAGGCAGCAGGTAAGCCATAACTTGTGTGTGTATATTATGGGTTAATGTTTGATTTATGGGCATATTTTAATTGTTGAAATATAAAGCTCACTCGATTAATCACACGCAACGTAGAACATGGCACATGCGTACGTTACGTATGACAGATTACTGATCGGTTGCTGGTGTAAAATGGTATGTTTTTGATTGTTAGCTACTGAATAGTAGAGAAGCAGTCTTTGGCGGTGAAATTTATGTAGTGGTTGGAAGTGCTCAATCATCAAGTCACTTAGTTTTGGTTGTACTAATGATTCTGATAAAAAGTTTCAGACGGATCGATGAGAATATCATGCCCAACCACTGCCTCCAGTTCTGACCAGCATAATATTAAGTTGGAGAAACAGTCCGGGATAAGGGGGGAATATGTGGCATCTGTCCTTAAAATCATTGGCTGCCTGGCGTATGCCGTACGGCCCGAAATTGACCTTGGTGCCTCAGGCGCATATATTTCTTAAATTTCTTCATAAATCTTCATTTTACACCTCACACTCTTTTCAAACTATATTTCTCGTAATGTTTTCCACTACAATGGCTATCAGTGTTTTCACACCTCTGGCATTCATGTTGTCGATTCCTCTCTATCGTGATGTAAGTTGTGTGAAAACCTTCACGTATCTGTTTTAGGTACTAGTCTCTGTACATTTTTGTTGGGAGAAATAACTTTTATTAGCTTCCTTTGTGTACAATTCCCATGTCAACATCATATATGAATTTAAACGAATGTCTTTAATAATTATTCAGTAATACTGAAAATCTTTTAATTTTCAGTTTCTGTTGTGAATGATAGCATATGTCGTTCTATTTTTAGTGATACCAATGCATATGCTCCAAAGAACTGTCAAAATACTTCCTGCTGGGAGTCAGCAGGTGATAAATTCCAGCGGCGCTACTGTAACATCAAATTTCCCACGTGTTCTTACCATCCGTCCTCAGTTATCTTCTGGTCCCACAGTCTTGACCGGTGCTACCACTATTACACCTGTGAGACCTGTAAGTTTATTACACATAAGTAGCTCTTAGTTTTGACCACTTCAGGAAATATATACTTTTTTGTTTCATACATGGGACCAGTGTATTTTCGCTCAAACATTTAAAGATACATTTTCCTTCTTACTTTATCACTGATTAGGGCACGCTGATTTTTTCTGGTGCTCCGTCGACACAGTTCACTGGATCTTCTGTCAACTATCAAAGTTCTGAGGATGTTGAAAATCAAATGATTATAGGGTCTGGAGGTGAAATTATTAATGGAGCTTCTCACGGTGTTCTTACAACTTCTGGTTATTACGATATAAATATGCATAATGCCGCTGGCTTCGAACACTCAGCCAGTTCGGCTGGTCGTGAGGAGGGTGAAGAACAAGAACAGTAAGTTGTCGTCACTTGATATGTATTCATTCTTTTCACAAGCCTATCTGACACCAAAATATGCTACAAGTTTTATTATTATTTTATTTACTAGGCATGTTCATTCTCATTATGAATCTTCCAAAATTGTTCTTTACAATCTAGCATGTAGTCTTTGAGGTTAAGTAAATAATTTTTCTTTGGAGCTGTCTTATCGAAATAACTTCCTTAAAACTCAAGTTTCATCGTCGAAGAATAGTGATATATATATCCTTATATTCTGTTGGTCATCGAAATATTACTCACTATATTCCATTACTTCGTTCATCATAATTTGATACTCTACATCCCTCTTTTTTAGGGTTACAACCGGTCTGAAAACCAATGGTCTTCGACGTTATGCCCGTTGTGTTTGTAACAAGGTTAAAGAGAAAGGTATAACTTCCTATAGTGAGGTTGCTGATGAGCTTGTACACGAGTATGCTGCTGAACATCCCATGATTCCATCTGAACAAGTGAGTTGTTGGATTTTTTTCTTGACAAAGATTATTAGCAATTGAAAAGATTGTTTTGAATATTTAAAAATGCAACAAATCACGTTATTTTTGTAGCTTCATTATATTCAGAAGAATATTCGTCGGCGCGTTTATGATGCATTAAATGTTCTAATGGCCTTAAATGTACTTCAAAAAGAGAAAAAGGAGATCCGTTGGGTTGGACTGCCCGTAAATATGATAGAAGAATGTCGGCGTTTGGAAGAAGAGCGTGAAAAGCGACAGATTTCTCTGCGGAATAAAGTACGTTCATGACGTTATCAGATTAAATGATTATAATTTAGTTTCGTTTTTCGGAATAATACTTTATATTTTACACCACCATTGTGGTTAGCTAGTAGAAATATGTGCGTTTTGCTCAGGTATTAATGATTTGTCAAAAGTGATCAAGAGTCTACGATCAAGTTAATTATCCTGACTCGAAATTTCCTGTTTTTCAGTATTTAGTTTCAGTGGATCATTTAATTTTCCCTAAAAATCCGGTTGCATAATCGTGTTCTCCCCATCCTTCCTAAGCTCTATTAAAAGATCAGCAGTCTCTGATTTTAATTCCATTCTGGGTATTTTAGCGATATCTACTTTCAAAAAGGTGGACTTCACATCAGTTTACGGAAACCTACATTATCACAAAATTAGATTATTATTTTCAAATGTACATATTATTTGTTTGTTCGTGAAAGGACTTATGAGCAGTTTCTCCTGCAAATCAATAAATTGAGGTTATTACTATGTAATGTCGTATGATAAAGCTTTGAAAATCAATAACCGTAACAAAGTATGCTTAAAAGCACAAACTGGGCCAAAGAAAGTGGATATGTTAGGATAATCCTCAAATCAATAATCATACGCATTCCTTTAAAAATACGACACCAATGGTTATTCTTTGAGTTGATGGAGAAATTTTATTTTATTGAAACGTCTTAGAGTTAGCTTATAATCTGATTCCTTTTTTCCACACGAACTTATAGTATTTTGTTCATAGACCATAATAGTCACTACACTGTCATGTTATATGAATTGCTATGAATGTAAGAAATGTCGCATCTAGGTTTTACGATATATTTTTTTACAACCTGGAAATTAATGTAATCTTGTGGTCTCTATGATTCCATAGATGTCTTCTAAAGTTTACGACTTACTAAAGTCAAATGTTACTTTTAGGGAAATTCAATAACTTATTTCAAATTCAAATGCGTCCGCGTTTAAGTTATATTTACTGTATACTATTCAGCTTCCCAAGCCGAGTTAAGTGAAGGGGTTTTTCAAATCCCAATTCAAGTGGCTTAAAAGGACGTTTTTAGGCCATCGAATCACATCTCCAATTAGCCAAACATACAACAATATAGCACACAGTGTCATTTTACTGTGGGAGCTGATTTACTTTTTGTCTTGTACCATACCTGTTGTTACATATTATGGCTTCCACCTAAAATTTGTTAATGTTTCTTTGCTCAAACAAGTTACTACTTCAAAGAAAGATTTGAAATTTTTCCAAAAAATATTATTCGTCAGTAAACTTATTTTTCCGTTATCAATTGTTATTTCAGACTGTTGAAATACAAGATCTCATCATGCAATTAATTGCTTTTAAAAACCTTGTAATGCGCAATAAAATCAATGACCGTTGTAGACGTAATCGTCCGGTTTCAGAATCTAACACTGGTGGATCACGTAACATCGATACTGATTCAGATAAAATGACATCTAATGGTACTTCGAAAATTCGTAACGAAAAGATTCCTTTACCATTTTTGGTGATATCCACTCACAGGAAAACTGTTATTGACTGCAATATATCTACTGATAAGTAAGTTGACTGCCTACAATTCGTTTATCTACTTTAAACATTAACTGAATATAGAATGCATAATCTCTGAGACAGCTTTTTAATGTAAGAATATCATTGGATTAACACCTTTTAACAATTCCCACTCATTTAAGTTAACAATATGATCCTCCATTTCTGTGAATATGATTGCTAGTTTTACACTAGGTTACAAGGTTAACTTTAAGTTTCTGTTCAATTGCTACTGATTGTATAGCACATATACAAAAATAACATATGATCTTTTAATAAGTTTATTAAGTTCCCATCGTTTACATTAGAATGTCACTGGGAAGGCTATGACGAAAAAAGAAAGAATTGACTAGACAATATTTTGATTTACTCAGTCAACTACAACTTAGGACGAGGCACATATATGCATCGGTCCAAGTTGCCATACCGCATTAGCACAGCAAGATGAAGTGGTGATAATATATAAAGGAAAGATTGCATATAAGAACATAGTAAATTTTGATGTACTATAAAATTAGTGTTCAGTTTCTGTTGTGGAGCAGGGTTTAGTGGTTCGATGATCGAATTCTCGGCTGTTAAAGTAAGGGAAAAGATTGCTCGTTTATAGATGACTTGCAGTGATACGATGTGACGGAGTTATGGATGCTTGCAACACCGCATTATTAACGTATGCCCCTGAGTAAGTGAAGATAAAAAAAAGTTACTATCCAGGAGAGTATGTTTTTCATCTAATAAAATAACATACTTATATATAAGATGTTAAAACAAAAACGGTTAGATGTTATAGATGATTCGACAAAATCAATTTTGTAAGTCGACCATTCTCCTACGTATAAAGGCCTAACTGTCAAACCTAATTCTAGCCCACCATATCAGTTTCGAAGTAAGATTTTGTGGTTCAAGAGTGTTGCTTTTATTTTTAATCGTATTCACTAGGTGTTATCCCGTTGATCTCTTTTTTTGCAACGTGATCGTCGAAAAGAAACAATACCGTCAGTGGTAAACATTGAATATAATTCAAATGATTGAAAAAGTCAAGTAATGAAACGTGCAGAACAATATTTAACCTGAAGAGCTACAGAAATACAAAAAATATGTACTCCATCGTAACCAATCTCAATCCACCTCAACAAATGGAGAAGATCTTTAGGTGGACCTCGATCACCAAATTTACTTTTCTTAGCACGGTTCAAACCACTACTCTTTGATTTCATATGTGTATACCAATTCCTACTTTGTCTGCCCCTTCTGTTTTCGAACCTTTACTGTTTTTCGTCAAGGTGGGATGTGGTTAGGAAAGAATAGCACAAGTTCTATATAGTCCAGTTGATGAATATCCGCAACCACATCAACCCAATCACTATCTTCACTTTAATACCTTACACTTGATTGAATTTCTGATAAAATCTCAGTTTTCCATTACACTGTTATTTGTTAGACGTTAATCTGAATTGTGTCGTAACCCGTTTTTTTCCCTACCTACTATCAGATTTTCATCTGTAATTTAAACAAATATTTTAATACAACTTAACAACCAAGTACGGAATCATGTATCCAGATTAAAGTCACACTATTTGTGCGATACATTTGGAAGCCAACATCAAAATTTCTGAAGGCAGGTGTTAGTTTACGACATAGTAGCTGAAAATTCAGTGTTTTGATGATTAAGCCACATATGTTGCAAGCTTATTCTAAAGCCTGCTATAAACAATTGTCCTACACAATACATAATTCATGTAACCAAAGTGGCTAATTTGTGTCATGTTTCTCAAGAATTTAGAGATATTTAGTAAATATTTTCTTTATTGAAAGCTATATCACTTTCTTGTGAACAGGTTTATGTTAATTTTTTCTTAGGTTGGAATATTTATTTAATTTCGATCAAGCCTACGAGATACGTGATGAAGTTGATACCTTAAAACGCATGGGTTTAATGCTTCGCCTAGGTACTATTCATTGTACACAAGAGGAGTATAATCAATGCTTAGAGTTAGTACCACCATCTCTAAGATTTTATGTAGAGGGTAAGTTGTCCTTTCTATTCTTCATAAGTGTTTCGCTCTAACCACCAAACTGAGGGATGAGACATTCATATTTTAAAAACAAAAATATTCATTTATTCAATGTCGTAAAACATTACTATTCTTTATATTCTTTAAAAAAATATAATGCATATAGTATGAAAGGTTCGAAGTGTGGCTTTTAATGAGTCATATATATGCTTTCATAACTTTTTTAGACAATTAAAGGATTTTGCAACCATCTGATTTTGATTGTATTGTGACGGTTACTCAAATATGTTCAATGTCTTTGTTTTATTTGTTATCCATATACTTTTAAGATATAAGAAGTTAAGGCCTATAAAGTTGGCTAATCCAATCTAATATTTTATCACAAACTAGTAGGTCGCATAGCTAATGTGATATTTTCCCACTATATCATGTAGTAGGATTATTGATGTACTGTGATAGGTTCTCTGAAGCACTCACTACAGAATCCATATGACGTACTTAATAGTCAGTCAAACGTAAAGTAGAACCTAGTATGTTGGTTCAAGTTGCAGTAGCCCTACGTAATAAACGAAATAAAAGCTCAGAAGATGCATTACTTTTATCCCATAGTAAAAAAATACCCTCTTTTCCCACGAAATATTATCCCTAAATTGACTCTTTACTAGCTAATTCCTAAGTTATCATTATTAATTCATCGTCGGTTGTCATACACTAAACACTAGTAAAGTCCGTTTACTGGAGTATACTTTTTATATGCTACTTACTCTGTACGGAGTACAAATGCTTCGAAATACTTTATGCGAATTCTGAAATATTATACAACATCGTAAGATATTTGTTCCAATTCTTTTTTGTTTTCTTCCTAGCCATTTACGAACGACGTCAGGCCATTGTACCTGACTTTGAGGCGCTTCATCAACAAAGAAGGTTATTCGTCGAAGCCAGATTAGCTGCTGCGGCTGCAGCCAGTCATACTGATGAAGGTGGTGACTCTATGGGATCCGGTGGTCATGGAGGGCCAGTTAACGTGCATCAACAGTTAGATCACTCTTTACGTAGTAGTCAGCGATCACCACTTGATACCAACTCTCATTACACTAGCTTGTTCGATACAGCGAATACAAATGTAAATGAAGGTGGTTTACGGCAACTTTATTTAAATCGAAGTCCAGATGATGAAGACGGTGGTCATATTTCTGGATCTGTTTCTAATAGTGGATTTGTGCCTGGTGATACTCAACATTATGCTCGTGCAGCCGCATCTCGTGGTTATGTTGTACCAGGTGGTCCAGGCGGGCTTTTACGCCATCGGCAGCATACTCCATCTTCCGGAGTTTCTAGCATTTTAAACCGTCAGTTTAGAAGTGATGGAGCTTCTCGTATGGGTTCGTCAACCTTGATCAGAACTCTAATTAGTGATAGCCGTGAAATGGCTTCTTCCGTAATCGGCGTCAACAATGAGCATCCCATGGCTCATAGTGATGATACAAATGATGAACTAGTGGATCCTGACGAGATTATTGAAGATCATGGTGATGAAGACGAAGATGAAGATGATGACGACATGGAAGATGTCTAAACATTAATTCTAAAATTCAGAGACGATATTTTGCAATAATACCTTGTTTTTACCAATTATATCTGTATCTATATTACGTAATTTTGTACATCAGATTTTTTTCATGGTCATAAATAAAAGACATCAAAAGTTAAACGGATAGGATTTCAAGATTTATGAATTTAGTTTATAATTACATGTTAATTATCTTATTTATTTCTTACTGAAATCTTTGTATTTGAGTTCATTTTGGTGTATTTTACAGTTAATGGTTAAACGTACATAGATAGCCCTTCTTGTTGTTTACATGTTCATTTCTTCTTATTTTCCCTTAAATTAATGTTTACATTCACCCATAATAAAATTTTTGTATATTATATTATTTTCTTTTCAGTATGAATTAAGTTTAATCCTAACCAAAGTTTCATGTATGAAGTAATTGTCCCTATTAAAAACGTTAGTGATAATGTAGGATTGTATTGTGACCTTGTTATGAAGTCTCAGTGATTCAGTTGATATTTATATCGAGTAGTTCTCCTGGCTGTCTGTTTAACATTCAATTTATTGGTTTTTCGAAATAGATGAAAGCCTGGTTTTATTTTTACGTTTAATTCTCTCATTAATGGGTTCCTGCAGAACTGATTACTATACATTCACATTATCTGTTACATTGCACATAATTCGGGCTAATAGCAATCTTAATCGGCATTTCTTTTAAGGACTTAATTAGAATATGTTCCACACCATTTTATTCATTCTCTCGTAAACGTTGATCACTATTGCATTGTGAAATATTTTGTGAACATCACTTGTCATGCTAGCCAATTTTTCAAATACCTTGACAAAGTACTTAAGATTTTGTATGTATATTATGCATTCATATCCATTATACGATAATGACTTGCACTCAAAGGGATAAAACAAGTAATAGCTGTCAACACAGTCAAAGAATACAGTGGCTAGTTCAATATAGCCTGAGAAGTAATGATCACCCTACATAAGCAACTGCCAACCGGAAAATTTTGCAAGAAATTAGTACCTACTTATAAGTAATACAGTTGGGATACATAAATCATAGGGAGTGCTCATCAGATCAATCTATACTGGTACCATGAAAATACACAAACGGAAGCGGGTAGCAAACAATTTACTCCATCATTGTGAAAAGAGCATTTTCGATTTAGGACACTACCTGGGAATTAAACATTTCACCAATGTATGACAAGCCAAACCAATACACTTTTGTCGAAAATCATGTGTTAAATAAGTTTTGAAAAATTTGCCTATTCCCTTTATTTCCATTGTTGATTTAAAACTGGGAATTTCAAAGTGTCTCATTATAATTTATAAAAGCCCAATAATTCTAAGCAGTAAAACAGGTGGATCATGTCTCTTACCTCCATACAAAGCGTTCTAAACATTACCGTGTTTTCGCTGGTGCCACAGACAAAACTTTACCACTCATAAAAAGACTATGCCCTACTTTGCGGTCAACCTATAATAATCAGATCTGAAGGGCATCACTTTTGTATTTATGATAAACTGAGATATGATTTACGTTCACTGTAGAGCATCACGTTAGCTTAAATGAAATCAAAATGATGTAAAATTATTATAGATAACCCAAATTGTGACATTTATTAGGTACACTTAATAAGTAGTCTGATATTTTTTTAACTAACAGATTAAGCTGGGTGAAGTTGGTGTAATATTTTAGCATGAATTAATGTCTTTCAGTAAGTTTACGTCCACATTTGTAATTTCCGTATGCGACTGATACGTGATATGAATTAATACTCAATAAAAGGTATGTTATGAACAGTTGTGAAAGCTTTCAGTATGTTCATCTAATAAGTGGTGTACATCTGTTGACTTAAGGTTTTAGTACAACAGATTCACCTTTCTTGACACATTGGATAGTGTTTTTATTCAATTACGTTGATCTTAATTTATTCAGCTAATATATTAAAATGAAAATTAGCTAACAATTTATGTAAAGCATATGATACACTAGTGAGTTGAATGGTTTTTTGAAATTTCTAAGTAGTTTTCGGCACATGATGATAGCTGTAGAACTAATAGAAGCCAGGGATACCTGAACAGTTGTTTCGTTTGAACTTGCTATCGTGCTCGTTCTTCTATTCCGAGTATAATATTGTTTGTGGCTAATGTCCGCTGTTTGACAATTTGTGACGTGTGAGAAATCTGTTCGGTAGTAAAAATATAAGTAATCAGGCGTCGACAACATAAAATACATATTTGATTTTCATTATCATCAAAAGTATTTATCATCATACTGAGTGTTTATTTGGAAAGCAATTTTTAACATGGTTGGCAATATTTTGTATTTATAGATGAGCTTTTCTACAAAACAGTCAACTAATTCTGACGGACTATATCGACCACCTTGTAAGTATGGGAGAACTTGTTATCGAAAAAATCCTCAACACTTTGAAGAATTTTATCATCAAGGTTAGTTTTCCACATATGAACAGGAAATGATTGTGACCAGTACCTTTGGGATTATCAATTTAATTTATACTAGCTATGATACTCGATCTGACTGTTTATGAGTAATCTGATTCCCGGTCATTAATGATTTTGCTTGGCTTTCGTTTAAATAAACTAAACATCTGTCTACACTTCTTCACATTGGATACGTACAAATCAATTCGAATCATGCTATTCCGAATAATCTGAACAGTGTTATTTTAGGTGCAGATATCTAGTAATTTAACCACTCAAATTCTAACCATTTAGTCGCATGCTAAAATCTACGTTTCATACATTATCTAGTATATTGTCTCTTAGATGAATTTATTAAAATCGTCTTCCTCTTTATTTTGTCCGTATTTCTATAAATTGAGTACCTAAATGTTTTAGTTCTTATGGATCAGTGAGAAAAAATAGTTTTTCACTGCTGTAAATACCCAGCTAGTTCGTTTGAATCGTTCTTATATGGTAAGTAGTCACAGAGTACAATTACTTTCAATCAACTTGTAACGATTCTTAATAATGATCAGACTTGGTTGTTTTGAAATAATTTCTACTTATCTTGCTAAACACCGTGTATAAGGTTTTGTTACATAATAGGGGTTTTTAATTTCAACCTTAATTAAAAGTTGTGATGAACTGAGCTATTGTTATTTCTGCATTATGTTATACAGCTCTATTAGTGTTGTCATAGTTATTCAACAGTTTGAATAAGAAATTGTTTTGCTTGTTTATTACGTTGTGGTAATGAACTCATCGGTGTATTATCCCATTCATTTAACAGATAATGAAGTATTGGTTGGGCACCATACTACAAACGCAAACATTACCAAAAATTCAGAAGACGTATCAACCAATGAAAATTTCTATGGCATTTATCTCTTTCGCGTATCTGGTGTAAAGTACGGTAGAATTCCTACTATAACTTTAAAGGGTAAGTTATTAACATTTTATGACAAAGTAGTGTAATTCACTATACGTTTTGTCTTAGCTATAGTTCATCACGTGAATGTATCTGAGTCTTTCTTGTTATCTATGATATTTGTTTATTAGTCAAGATTTTCAATACCGAAGTTTAGTATCAAGATCTCTGAAATATCTATTAAGCTGTGTACAAATAACTCATCTGAAATTAGTTGACTAAATATGGTACTATATATCAATGTATTCGCTGCATCTAGCATATGAGTTCAAGCTGTTCAATCTGAAGCAGTTAGAAATGAATTTAAACCATCGATTTTTTGGTTGAGTCTGATGTTCTGACCACTTAGATACATATATCAGTCTGCCTGCATTGGGCTCAACAATACTGTTGACTGATAGGGTAATTTATTTGTCAGTCATTAACCCACCTCAAAGTCTCTCACCTACGTTGATTTCGCTTATTACTGTACGCTGGATTTACATCAATGATCACCGATTCTCAATTTCCTTAATAGCAGGAGGTACTGATTTCGTACTGATCTATCAGTATTTCTCCTTAACTGACTTCGTGTCTTATTGTTATTCTTTTCTTTTACAAATTTGTATTGAAGTCGTCTTGTGTAACAAAACGTTTTCAATAAAACTTCACTTCAAGAATGTTCTTTAAAAGGGACTACTTACTTGTTGACTTGCTTACTAGATGTGACCTTGTGTACCTGTCGATAAACCACATTTTAAATTGGAAGGCTAGGGATACCATCAGTTAGCTCAACCCTAAGTAGGTGGAGCGAGGCATGAAACTGAAACCTAATGAATGAAAGCCGAAGGCTTTAATCACTGATCTACTAAAAAAGTGAATGGAAATTTAATTAAAAATCTCCTAGTGTCTGAAGTTTGATATAAAAAAATTAAGAGTGGAAATCAATCCATGTTAACCACATTGTCAAGTACAGTAGTATGGACTTAATTTTATAAAAGATATCAGTAATCGTTGTATCCCATTAAGTGATTTAAACAACTAGTGTTAACTGTTAATACTTAGTCCTTCGGTCTGATAACAGCTATTTGGTGAGGTTGTGATGTATTGAGTTCCTTTCCTACAAGGGATCGGGAACATTAACTGGTAAAGATTAGCCTTCTATTGGATGCCTACCTGATAGTATCTTTTCTCCAGTAATGTCTTTAGTTGTTATGATATAGAATTATGTAGTTCGTAATTTTTTTATTTACCGTATTTGTTTCCTATTTCTATAGAAATTCTTAATTCCTCTGATGATGAACTTGTATCTTCAATTCAAGTAAGTTAAAATTTTCCTAACAAATATGATGAATATGCTTTCAACTGAGTTTATCTTCTCAAAGCTTCTTTTTAATCACTTAACTGACTTTTACTAATCGTTTATTCTTTCATAGTCAAGTTCACGAAATAGTCTTAGTCAAACAACCACTGAAGAACTGAATCAATGTCCTAAAGGTTAAGCGTTTTCTTGCTTGACCGAAGGTCCTAGTGTAGTGAAGGAGAACACAGGTGAAGATAACTGAATTGTATTTAGCACAAAATTACAGTTACTTGGTAAAATAGAAAAACCAAATAATAAATCGTTAATTTGCAAGATATCAATGCATCATATCAACCTGGACTGTTCCTGTTGCATTGTGTTGTCGCTCTTCCTTTCTTGATCCTTTCCCATCTTCTGCTGCCAGACATTACGTTTTATAACTCGCGTCATATACTACTTACATCGATATAAGTAGCACGCACCACACTAGATTTCATCCCTGATGGAGAGGTTGTGGACTAGCACCACTGAGGAATCCTATACTAAGTCGCAAAAAGGTCTGGTTTTCAGTAGTCGTTTAACTAAGACCTTCACTTGATGTTAACTATGCTGTCGAAAAGAATCTCCATAAACCTCTATAGCATTTGTTTTTTTAGAACCTTCGAACTTTATTTTCTTAATCATTCGGTGTACACGTTTAAAAAAATATTCTCAAAGTATGCAAATGACATTATAGATTATGGTCAATTGTCGTTATTTTTCTGACTTTATGTCCTGTCTTTTTATCATGTGATTTATCCACTAATCAAAATACGACTTATACAATCTTCGCACTGTGCCCAAACCAATGACGTTCGATCGGTATGAGCAGCCTAGCGTCCTTATAGGTCCTATGTCTGCTTACCCCGTCCACTTGAGTCCAGAACAACAATACCAGCTTCCAATATGTGAATCGAATCGAATAAATTATTTCAGACATACTGGGTTTATATATCAACCAAACAGACCGCAACTCACCATAAAATAGGAAATAACGTTTGTACACAATAAAGGCAAAAAGTGACTGATCGTGGGAGGCAGTAGTTAATAAACTGAACATAGCTTAAGAGCGGTAAATCGTACAATAATAAATTGTAGGTCAAAATAAAGCTTATAATAAGAGGAATTTAAATATACATAATCTAATTATTGAATAGTTATACCATAAGGATGTATACATAATATTAGTCAATTAATATGTCTCAGAAGTTACTCGTGATTTAATCTTCGCTCGGATATAACAGATATTATCTTTCACAACTCACTGACTAGATATATAATGTTTAGATTCTGAAATTCTAAATGTCAATGAACCTGTGTTTTTTAAGTGTCTCATATTAACCTTTTTTAAAATTCATAAGTAATATATTGACAACTCTGTTGTTATTTTTCGGCTACGAAACATGTGTACTGTAAAGTTGTTATCATATATTGAACTGTAAACCTGTTTTCTTAAAAATCAGCGTGTGGTGAAACTATAATTTATGGACGACCTTTTAGCGACGCCAAAGTGACTTTGAGAGTGTTCACCTAATAACTAGGACCGAATGAGGGTTATAAACCAGTGTAAGGAATTAAAATTATGATTTACAGTTGGTGGTTAGGGTTAGAAATTAGATTCAGGGTTTTCAGCTATAATGCCAAAACTATTTAGCCAAACAGATATGTGAATTTCGCTCCAAACTCCGAGACCTGTTATCTTATACGTGATTGGTTTGTCCATAAATTATAGTCTCACCATTAACATCATAGTTATTAATATTAATACAATTGAGTCATTTAGTCCCGTTGTCACGATTGTTAATCAATAGAATCTAGTCAAAACCTATCGGTAAATAACTTATCGTTAATTGTAATTAATTACTGATAGAAATTATTGTCATTTTTCACTTATTTTATCGTTCAGCTTACACATAGTTCGCATTTTTGATATCATATAACAATTTCAAATATTTTGTTTCTTTCCGTTGATTATTTCTAGTTTAATTATATGTTTGATATACCATGGCTAAGGGAACAATATCCTGAGCGCTTCAGGTTAGTATATACTATGATTTAAGTAAATGAGCAAGGTTTTTTTTTAAACCAACTTTTCAGTATTTACATTACCTTAAAAAATTTAGACATTGGATTTCATAATAATTCAAAATATCCTAAAACACATTTCTATATGATCTATGCTACTGAATTAGTGATTATCATCATGTACATTCAAAGTTTTAATTGTTATTTATTTTAGTTTATTTATTAATATTTCTTCCAATAATCAAGTTAGCGATTTTATTCAACTAATTAGTTAATGTTCATTTTATCATATAATTATTTTGTATTGAGATCATAAACCTCCAGACCACTGATCTAAAGATTAAGCATTCACACGAGATCGAGGGTCCTGAGTTTGAGTCTCGCGTATAGAATCATGGATGCGAACTTCTGAGGAGTTCCATACTATGATAAAACAGCTGTCCAATGCTTTCTGGTTTCAAATGCTGGTTTACAATTTATCAATTGATGATATCAATAGAAAGCTTAACAATCTCCACTTTTTTTAGATAAGTACTTATACACTTATACTACATTTATTTCCATCAATTCTAATGTAGTATTCATATGATTAATCTTTAAAGAAATTGTTTGGGTCAGAAGGGGTGTTTTTGGAGATCTTAGTAAGTTCAATAGTTGAGATCATGAATCAATTGAAGCTAGACCACCATGGAAAACCCGGAAGCACTGGATGACCGTTTCGTCCTATTGCGGGACTCCTCAGCAGTGCGCATCCATGACCCCGCCTCACGAAATTCGAACCCAGGACCTACTGGTTTCGCACGCGAGCACTTAACTACTAGACCACTGAGCCATCATCCAATGGTGTTAGTGCCTAACTTCAACCGGGTCAGTTGTGAGATAGTAAGTCACTAATGATAATGGTGGATGTGTCGCTCAATTTCATGGATTAGTTGGAGTTAGTCGTTAACACTGTTGGATGCCAGCTCAGTGGTTTAGAGGTTAAGCGTTTGTGCACCGGACCGATAGATCCTTTGTTCGAATCTCGCGGGACGGGACCGTGGATTCGCACTGCTGAGGAGTCCCACAATAGGACGAAACGGTCATCTAGTACTTCTAGGTTTTCCATGGTGGTCTAGCATCAATTGACTCATGATCTCCACTATTGAAATTGTTTGTTGTTGAAAATGTTATTCAACTGAAATAAATGAACTTATTTTTGATTTATTTATTATTCAAAGTTATTTTACATGTATTAATTCTTTTTCCTCAAAATACATTTTAGAATTCTTTTTTTGTTTTTCTTCATAGATCACTACCACTCACTATTGTACACGGTTTCCAAGGGAAAATGAAAAAATCATTAGATGAATCTGCTGCAAATTACAGTAATATACGAATTTGTCAAGTATGTGGTTTATGAATTCACTCAGAATATTTCTTAGTAGTCATTATATCTATCTATTTGGTTATTTTTAAATTTAATTATTTTTATTTTAGATTCAATGAATAATTAATTTACAATACAGGTTTGTGGAGATTACTGAATTCCATAGTTTTTATGACGGATTAATCTTAGTTAGATAACTGTAGTGAACGAAAACTGAAGTATGATAAATCAACTTATTATTTTATGTGAAATCATATAGTGCCTTTGTAAATTTTGAAAATTATACATTAAATACATCATTTGCATATCTTCATTGAGTTGTTCTTTATATACTCTAGCATTTTTCTAATTCTGTTGTTATTCCAATTGCTCGCCATTTAGTTTACTGTTCTCTTTATTTCAATCTCCTGCTGATAAATATTCCACTCCCTGTTCCTGTTACATACTAATTATATCTGTCCACATAAGAGACCGGTCGTGCATAGACCAAATCGCGACACCACGGATCGTCGTTGAACTATCATTTGAGTGGAACTCGTAACTATACATCAACTTCATTGATTATGAGAATGCGTTTGACAATGTGGACAGAGGACCTTATGAAAACTTCCTCGACACTATGGTGTACCTGAGAAGTTCGTCAACATCATACGGAATTCATACGACGGACTACAGTGCGAATTGGTGCATAGAGGACAGCTGACAAATGCATTCCAAGTATGGACCGGAATCAAACCAGGCTGCTCATTCTCCCTCTTCTTCTTTCTTCAGGTGGTCGACTGGACTATGAATACCTCGACATCTGAGGGGGATTTATTTTATTTGAACACATAAATATTGGTACAAGGGAGCGCCAAATATATGTGCGCCACAGAAGAAAGAGTTTCTACCATGGGGGAGCTGCTATACAAGTTTAAAAATAAAGATACATAAAGTGGGAATAAAAGAGAGTGAATAAGTAACGTGGTAAATAGTAATAATGATAATAATGTGAATTGTTTGACTGTTAATTGAAGCGTGAATAGAATTTTCAGTAAATATCGTCATTTTCATTTTATTTTTGTGTGGGCTGTGATACTGCTCGGGTGCCCAGGCCGAAGCAAGTGGTTTTCTTAGGAGGCCACACCCCTAGCCTTTGACCTACAGGTTTGACCCACAAGGCGGTGGAGCATCGTGAGGAGATGCGGTCCCATGGTAACCGGTGGCCAACAAGTGGTTCATACTCCATTTGTTCCCTCAGGGTACTGGAGCCCATATGCACCATTGGTTTGGAATCCGGGTAACGCGACGGAAATTCTCTTTTCGTCCTCTTATTTTCATGAACAACAGTAATGTCGCGAGAAGGCAGGAGTAGGGCTTCCCTGGCAGAGGCTGTATACGCGTGGCCGTGTGAGGGCATTTCGAGAGGGAGAGCGGGCCCTCCCCACTCTCGGCCATACCAGGGCATTTGGGGGCACGGAATACAATAGACAGCTCGGAATCAATTGATGACTTGGCCTTCTACCCCATACACATCAACAATCGTAGATTCAGACAAACAGTGTAGCATCAGTGGTCTCTGCATCAGTAGACCTAAGTATACACAAAGTAAAAAGCAAGGTTCTCAAATACAATACAGCATCATCTATGGACAAGTAGGATCGGATGCAGACGTAAAGGCGAGGATCAGCAAAGCTAGGGTCGCATTCCAACAAGTAAAGAACACATGGGATTCAACACGAATAGTTCTACTGTACGGAGCTGAAACATGGAGAACTACTACAACCATCATGAAAAAACTACAGGTATTTATAAACAGTTATCCACGCAAAATACTCAATATCCGTTGACCGGAAACCATCAGCAACAGCTAACTGTGGGAGAGAACACACCATCTATTTGAGGAGAAAATGAGGAAAAGACGATGGAATTAGTGGATAAGACATACACTGAGAAAATCACCAGGCTGGATCACAAATCCTGAAGGTAAACGCAAAATAGGAAGGCCAAAGGACACACTGCGTCGAGAATTGTAAGCAGAAATGAAAAGGATGGATTATTATTAATGGCTTTATTCAATATTAAATTTTGGTACAATATAGAACTCTCATCACAAGGTATTTAAACAAGTTTCCTTTACAACAAAAAAGGAAGGAAAAAGGTGAGAAAATCTGAAAATGTACAACTTTCCAAATTAGAGACTTGTTTAAGAATACGGGTAGCAATACGCGATAGCAACCAGATAGGATTGCCCAGAACAGGGTTGGATGTAGAGTGCTGGTGGTTGGCTTATGCTCCTCAACGACGGGTAACAGACGTAAGTAAGTAAGTACATAAGAGGCGCAAACGACACAACCAACGGCGCGGTGATGCTGTGATACTTTGAGGTCCTTAGTTCGATTTTCAATAGGGTTGTGGATGAACACCCCTCTTAAGTTCCATACTAGGACAAAATGATTGACTAATAGTTGACAATGTACCTTTCAAGTAATGATAATTCACATAGATTAATTCGTCGTAGAATCGAACAAGAGAATTAAATCAGATGAAAATGTCTTTTTTTTGTGGACATACCTAAGTTCATTTCACATTTTCAGTGTCAGTATAAGACATTTTTGACAGTCACCAGCCTATTTAAGGCATTGCGGTAGTCATATTTTCATAAAATTTCCAAATTAGCAATGGAACATTGAATACAACCTGTTGAAACTCGAGGACTATGAATTGATGATCTGAGTGCTCTGTTGATATTTAAGACAACTGTTAGAAGTCATCGTACCCATAAGCAACAAAAAGCATGTAATCAGTGGCATAATCTTCAAAATTTCCTGGAACACTTTTTCAATATGTGTCCGACCCACGACTCCATCAATTTCTATTAAATTATTTTGTTCTGTTTACTTGGTCAACATTTACCGACGTAACAATGTGAAACCCTCGAGTGAAACTCGAACAAAAACCTGTTACACGATCATTTTAAAGGATGAGAATGACTTTTAAATAAGGGTAATAATCAGATTGTAAAGATTCAGCAAGTTTAGAGTATTGAATCACTGTGGAATTATACATTTGTTTTTCACTGTTCTGTAAAACTTAAAATGTTGTTATGTACTTTTAGTCCCTCAATTTTACTCAATTTTTTGTTTAGATGTTTATTAAGTATGATATTCCTGTTTTTTTTTTTTTGAAATTTTATCTACACATGCTTATGTGAATCGTGACACATCAAATTGATACATGTATGAAGATAATTATCTATTAAGTTATGTCATATCGAAACACTGAACTTTGTGATTCGCGGTCACTTTATGTATTTCGTTGTACCATGTTACATATTAAGCACTGTTTAATGACATAGGAGTTGGGTGAAAAGAGTGAATAGTCAATGATTTTACGACTTCATGCTTCAAAAGGGAAAAGAATTCTGTCAAATTATCATCTACTAACATTTGACACTCACATAAATTGTACCCTAAAAGTCTGGCAAGTCAAACTTGATACAGTTTTTGATTTAGTTTAGAATAGACCTAATCTAAGAGCCTTTTATAGTTTCTTATTGTGGTCCTCGTTTTCAGTTAAACGTATCTTCACACTGAACGAAGTTTAACTAGGTCATGTTACCGTTTTATGTGCATCCCTTATTATTTATTATTTACCTGAATATTATATTATCAGAATGTGTTTTGTGGAGATTTTTAGAAATTTTCACAGATTGAAATCATGAGTCAGTTGAAGCTAGACCACCATTGAAAACCTGGAAACACTGGACGGCCGTTTCGTCCTAGTTTGGAGTTCTAGTGAGAAGTCGTTACCAGTGGAGTTCAACCAGGTCTGTTGTGAGATAGGAACTCACTGAAGACAATGGTGTACGGTGGCGCAACTTTGTAGAGTGGTTGAAGTTAGACATTAACACCGTTGGATGCCGGCTCAGTGGTCTAATGGTTAAGTGCTCGCGCGCGAAGCCAGTAGGTCCTGGGTTCGAGCCCCGGGTGGTGCGGGGTCGTGGATGCGCACTGCCGAGGAGTCCCATACTAGGACAAAACGGCCGTCCAGTGCTTCCAGGTTTTCAATGGTGGTCTAGCTTCAACTGACTCATGATTTCAATCTGTGAATATTATGTGATTTACTCACTTTTACTTCCTAATAACACTATAATTTCGTAAAATATTAGATATACATATATAAAATTGGTTTTTTAGGGTTGTCTTTTTTATTTCTTTTTCTTTCAAGGCCCATATACGTTTGCCATACGGTACACATCATACGTAAGTTGGTTATAACAAACAGTTGTCTCAGTTAAAACGTTTGTATTACTAAATGAATAAAATATTTTCCAAGTTAATGTTCGATTAGTAAGTAAAGCATAGTTTGTCAAAAACTTATTTTCGGTATCAGTAAAGCTGTGATAAAATTAGCTACTATCATCTTTTGGTATTCAACTATTTGAGATAGCGTATTGTTAATCATAGCATCCTTGGAAACGAAATCGATCTTAAAATAACCAAAATTAATAAGTTTAATTGAAAGTGGTCTACGTTTGACACTTTCGTGGCATCAAACTGCCGTATAAAAAATATCTCATTGCGTACAGTTTTCTGTGTTTCTTCACTGTTGTTATCATAGTATTGTTTGCACTAAGTGGCGATACCATATTTGCAACGAGGTGGTCTGGTCACATATTTTCGGTTGTAATAGAGATTGGTTATCTGATGGTGTGTCTGACACGTGTGCAGTTGACCGATCTAAGTCTTATTCATATTACCTGACAGAGTTTTCATGAATCGTCACTGTAGATAACAAAAATATTGACTTCAATCTATATATTTCTAAGATAATGACAATATATGTAACATGTAATGTGTTTATTTTGTGATAAGTAAATGAAGCAATATAGTGAAAATGGAGCAGTATTTTTAACAATACTAGCTCGATACATCAGATTAGTAGTTATACACGACATTATAACTTATAAGAGATATATTATCGACGTATAAATTAATGTCATACAGGTTCATAAGGACTGGGGCATTGAATATGGATTTTTAATCGACTACATTTTCTGGTCACGACATATGACAAGCAGGTATCTTACAGCATCAAATTTAGAAATAATAATACATGAGACAATAAGCAGTACTATTCCTTGATTTCATTCATTCATATGTGCGTTGATCTTTAAGTACTGCTTGTCCGTCTGCAACTCTTCCAGGGTTACTGCCCGTCCCAAGACCTGGTATAGGGGGAAGGTTGAGCATGGGGTCAGCATCTCCATCCCGTAGAGAAAACTCTAATCAGAGCAGACAAATTAAACTATTTACACTCTGATCTCCGAGTTGAAAAATCTTTATTGAAATAACTTATGATCCCTCATGATGAAAGCCAATATTCTTCAGAAGTCGCGAGGCTGGTGCCGCGTCTAACAACCAGAGTAACAGTTAATATAGGTATACGGAATGTCCGGACAATGTGAGAGACCTGGCGGACCAATCAAATAGCAACAAAAATGAGAAGATACAACTTGACGGTTCTCGGAACAAGTGAAACCAATTGAATTCAATTGAAATTGCAAAGATTAGATTCAGGAGATATGTTATTATACTCTGGTCATGGAGAAATAAATGCTTCTCATACTCATGGAGTCGCTCTGATACTGTAAATTTTTCCTGTACCGGTCATGTTGAAATCACTTTTTCAAGATGAGTAGTATGAACATTATCTTCAAAGCTTCTGCTTGTTTAATTTTAGAAAAATGATGATGCTCAAATATAAAGATGGTTTAAAAATTATCATTCATACAGCGAATATGATATCAGATGATTGGGATCGGCGAACTCAAGGGTAAGACAATATTGTAGAAAGTGGTTTGTTAGTCAACAAAAATTATGGTTGATGGTTTTGATATTAGATGTATCCTTTAGCTATATAGCAAACTCCTGTAAATATGATTTATATTATACTTAAGGCATTTATGTAATAAAATTATTCTCAGTGATCTATACAATCTCTTATAGGTTGTTGAATCATAGTTATTAGCTAATTTATCTTCAGCAATCAGTTTTTTTCGTCCGTTAATTTGGAATGCAGTACGGTAGCATGTTCACAAAAAATCACACCCTTATATACAATACTGATACATTAGATGATTAGAAAATGTTAGATATTGCACTCTTATTGAACATTGAAAAGGTTGGTTATCCTCACACCTAATTTTGAACGATATCTCCGCATCAACCACTTATTCAATGTCAATATGTCAACATTTATCGTCATATGTTTATAAACTAGAATTGTTCTAGGCTGTAGTAAGTGTCTGTAGAAAAACTTCAACACAATTTATAATGTCGTTTACTTTTCATTGAATTATAAATATGATTTAACAACACTATCCCTCGTTAGATCATTGACTGATTGATTGCACTTTCATTATTTTGTTCTAGCTTATTAAAAGAACTAAATTTCTGAGCGTGTTTAGACATAGAAGTGTAAGAGTTTCATTAAGTTTGATCATCGGATATATCAAATCAGGCATTTACATTATTAATTATGCCATTAATTGATTAATGAAAAAATAGTTTTTAAGAAAAATTCTATTTACTTATTCAACTGGTATTCGCGTTTGAGCCACACCCGAAGTGTAAAGATTAATCATACTACTCGTTTGATTAAACTCGAATTAGATTTTGATGCCTGGGATGATTGTTGATGTTACTATCCTGATGCTTAAGTTATATTCATACAGTGATTTTGGAATTCACTTTTTATTTTTTTTTAACTTATGAGAATTTGGATTAGCCCGAAATTAAAGTTATTAAGCATGGAAGAACTGAAGAACTTAAATGATACAGATTCGAGAACTAATTTTCGTGCAGAGATTTAACCCAGTCAACCAGTTCACCCTTATTTGAATGGATTAATTGTTTGCACAGTTATGATTTTCGACCAATTAAGTAAGTGTTTTGGTAACATGTAATTTAATAAAAAAGTATATGTGTTTCGTGAAATTTGCGTTTTCGTGGCTGATTCATGTATATTTATTTATTTTTTACTGTGCAATCGAAATTTAATGTTGTTTTCTTGAAATGGATCACAGTTATTATGTCAATCATGCTAACACTATTGGTCCTTTATTTATAAATTAACTATTCTCAGTTATCTTTAGTTTGATTTGCTAATTTTTCGAATTGACAATCAGTTGATTTTACCGGTATATAACTAAATGGACTCATATGTAAATGAAATCTTGTGGAATCTTTACCTGATAGACGTTCCTTGTACAAATATGTTTTACAACATTCAGGGCTATGAGAAAACGAAGCTGTTATTACGAAAGATATCATAATGACTGATTTATCAATCGTGTTTCTATGCTCTCTCATACTGTATACCATTATTATTTAGATTAACGCTACGTTGTTTGATTGATATTTTTTCCCGTTTGTATTCACCGTTAGTTCTTAGTCGTTAAAATAAGGGAAGATATTTTGTGAAGTCTCATCACGAATAAGTGACAGAGCATAAAACGAAGAACTAAGTTGTAGTTTGCATTCCTTTCAGGTATTATAATTTATGACAGGTAATTTTTGATGTGTATTTCAATCTACATAGTATCTCTGTAATTTAGTTTCTAAAGGGCTTTCATCAGCTACTCTTTTAATGCCATAATTGAGTTTCCGTATACTTTCAAAATGTCCATCCAAAAATTGTTTATTCAACTAATTCTGCTGGACTATTCAAAAAATAAGATCTTTCTCAAGAGTAGTCATTGCACTCATTGAATCTACTGATAACTCATTTAACTAAGAATAGTTATCACAGTTTGTAGTAAATGAACTAGTTTAGAAGTTTTTAAAAACCTAAATCAACAAAATAAATAAAGTATATAATGAATTATAATAGTAACCAGTAGTTTGCAGTGAAAAATCGTATCATCGACGTTTGTTGTGTAAAATGCTTTATCTTCTGCGTGTTGTTTTGTTTGTTTTTCAAAGGGTTGTATTAATTGCGTCAGTCTCCGGAAGACATGTCGGCGAGTCACTAAACAAATTTGGTCATACACGTTTAGGAGAGGTATGATCGCTATATTTGTAATGAGTTTGGTATAAATATGAAAGTATGAAGTGAATATTTATCAATCCCTTTAGTGAAGTAGATATTTTTGTTAGTTATCAATTCCTACTTGTCACTTGTTACATCGATAATAAGTATGATTTAACTAGGCATTACATATCGTTCAATACATTGCCTCTATAAAGCATGATCATTTTATTTAGTTGGAATATAGTTTTTTCAGTGCTGTTTGATCACCAGTATGTTCGCTAAACTATTCAGATTCGATGCAGTCGCTATAGTATCAAAGTTAAGTACCATGTTTTTTTTCTTCTATCCACTAACTTTAATTGTTTACTCTAACGATATTAAATAATCCATGAGCATTAAATGATGCTATGCACCGTCAAATAAGTTTATAATCAGCAATTTCTATGCTGTTCTAACAAACATAAAACTGTGGTCAATGAATATTTCTTTGTACTGATAAACACTGTGGTCTCGGTACCTTTTTTTCTTTCACACTAGGTATTACACACATGTAATAGTCAAATCCCTTCGTCTTGGCCAGTGATTGGTCAGTTCTCAAGCATTGGTTCTTTAGGTCTTAAACCTACGGATTGGTTTACCACTGAGTGGTCATCAAGTTTAGCCGGTAGAGGTGCCAGAGGCTTACGAATGGTGAGTATGATCACTATTTTAGCATACTTTTTGCATTAAAGATTTGATTCTTCTCTCTTAGTCGATTGTTTTCTTAAAATTGTAGCATAAAAGTTTTTATCATGTTTCTTCAAGTATATTAAATCAGTTTTTTTTGTTTACATTTTTTCACATCGTATTTTCTAGTGATGAGTTCTTATGTTTAATATATACGGCATAACCACGATAATTATCGGCTTAAATATTTCGGAATTGTAATGAAATCTAATGACTATGAGTCCTCAGTCATTTGAGTCATTCTAAATATTACGTGATATATATATGAATGCGTTTTTGGCCTGTCAAATGTTATAGGATGCTATTTTACCGATTTGTGTGGAAAACTGATTTGGAATAGAGAGTGATATTTTCAAGCTAGTGGTCTTGATATATCAAACCCGATGATCAGCACAGATACCAATTGTTCATTTGTTTTTTGTCTTAATACATCACTTATGGTGCTAGCGAAAATATTGAGATGCATACAGCTCAGTTTTACTCTGTGGCCGTGGCATGTATTCGTTATGCGTGGAACACATATCTTGAACCCTCATGTTTCCCCATGCATAATTCTTGATAGTGTCTGGATTCTTTTGATCATATCTTCAATTTGAGCATTAAATGATCAAAGATCATGTCACTCTATATATCAGTAACTTACAGGTCATTTAACCAGCTTCTAAGTCGGAATGAATATTTCTTTAACTCATATGCTTATCTGATTATAATTGAATTTCAGTCATTTGTTTGAACAATTCGATGATCATAAGTAATTATTGCTTTTAAATATTATTAAACAGTAACTTTTTATACACAAAAATAATCAAGATTTTAAAATATAAATATGATTCCGTTTCTTTCTACGATATGCGCTATTTAATTTCTCCCTGTTATGGTATACAACTGCAGATTTATCCGTGTGTTGAAGATGTTCGTAATAGTTTGGAAGGTTATTTTGCCGGTGGATGTTTACCATATACAAAGAGAACAGCTGAAAAACAACCATGGCTTTGTCAGTTCTTTTATCGCTGGCATGCTTTTGAACATAGTCGATGTGCTCCTCACATTAAGTCATACACTAGGATATCACCAGATGGTCAACAGATAGGATGGTTTCTTCTGACTAGGTAATTAATTTCAACAAATATCAATTAATTGTTTGAAAGTTTAACACTATGATCTGACCTACTAAACACAAGGTTTTTGTAATAAAGGTGCTTGTATTTCTAAAAATCTAAAGAAATTAGATTATCGATTCGATGGGCTATATTTGTTTATCTCATTGAAATCATGAACCTATCAATGCTAGATCACCATCGATAACCTTGAAGCACTGAACAGTTGTTTCATCGTAATATGGGACTCCTCAACAATGTACATTCACGTTCCTGCACGTGGCAACCGAACTCAGGACCGTCGATCTCGCGCGCGACCGCTTGACTTTGAGACCATTGAACTGGTATTCAATAGTGTCTAATTTCTCTACCTCCAAATGTTACATCTCTTGATAAAGATATCATCTACGATGAAATTGCTCACCAACACACTAACAAATTCTAGAATACAATCTATTACAAATATTTAGAGAAAATTAGTGACTTAACGTTAATGTACAATTTCTTTAATTGAAGTTTTTACTATATCTCATAAAACGGTCAGTTACTTCAAGAGATTAAATCGTAAACTGTAATTTGGAAATAATTCTGCTCTTTTTCTAAGTGAAATATGATTTTCAACTCATTATTCATTAGAATAGATTAATGTTTAAGGTATGCAAATATATATATATCAATTGTGCTGTCCATACAATATAACTGGCAGTAGTCCCCGGAGGGACTCCAGGCGGAGTTACATTATGACTGATCAACCATATATGTCCATTTTCATATAGAATAATTATTTTACTCCTGATACGGATGTCTCTTTATTGTTCTTTGTTCTACTGCCTATTTAGAATAGTATTTTCGTAGCAGAATCATTCCAAAAAAATAGTTAACAGAAGACAACTGTTAAATATCCTATATGATAAACAATCATATCTGCACTATTTATTTTGAAAATATTATGATAGTTTTGTCTTTACATTGTAACTTGTTTACTTTGTCAAATAGACAGGTACACATCCTCGAAACCTTAATCAAAAAGTTTAAATTTTGTTGTTAATGAATATGAAATCGAATATGAATTGATCGAGTAATCTCTGTCAAATTTCTAGTAAAATATATTCGTTTTTTATGGCAGTGATTATTAGTATGACCTGATAAAAAAAAAAGCTAATTTCAGAATTCTATTTGTATTTAGGTATTGAGTATTATTGAATATGTAATGCTAAATAAACTAGACATACAAACTAGAAAATGTTGATTCTTACATTTCCTACCATTATCCTTTATGATTTATCAATAGACATATAATGGCAATCAGAACTTTCAACCTTGAACATCAAGGAAATTGTATAAAAAAAATCATAACTTTTGCATCCAAACTATTTCTGCATGTTATCTTTATTCTGATTATTTACCTAATCAAATGATTTATACAAAAGTAGTCAAAAGATATAAAAGTGACTTTCTACGCCTAATTGTCACTTTTCATCTCTAACGTAATCAATGAGAATAAATAGCATTTTTGATTTATCCCCTTTATTCTAGTCTCATTAAACTTTATAAATTGTTCTGAATTGTACAGTTCTATTTTTATTAGTTAATATGTCACCTATTGATAACCTGTTCTAATTTATTCCATCGATAAAGTTTAATATTTTATTCTCTTAAATTTACTGAATCACTCTTTTTATTACAATATTATTTTGGATGAATACTTTTAAATTTACTCGTAATGCTCACTGGTTGTGGAATTCCATACTAAGACAACATGACCGTTCATTGTTTCTAGGTTTTAACAATGATCTAACTAAAATAAATTCATATAATTTAAACAATGAAAGTATTATTTATTTTATAAAACAATGTATTCAATGGAAGAATCTTTTACAATAAGTTTATTTTCAAATTCATTTAATCGTATACTTATGCTATAAATTGTATCAAAAGGGGTTTTGTGGAGATTGTAGTAATTTCAACAGTTGAGATCATATGAGTCAATTGAAGCTAGACCACCATGGTGGTCCATGGTCTCCACGAAACCCCTCCAGATACTAATCAATATACGCTCACTGGCTTCAAGAGGTATATCATGGAGTTCTAGTGAGAAGCAGTGACTAGTGGAGTTTAACCAGGTCAGTTGTGAGATAGCAACTCACTAACGACAATGGTGGATGTGTCGCTCCATTTCTTGGATTAGTTGGAGTTAGACATTAACACTGTTGGATGCCGCCCCAACGGTCTAATGGTTAAGTGCTCGCGCGCGAAACCAGTAGGTCCTGTGTTCGAATCCCGCAAGGCAGGATCGTGGATTCGCACTGCTGAGGAGTCCCACAATAGGACGAAACGGTCGTCCATTGTTTCCAAGTTTTCCATAGTGGTCTAGCTTCAATTGATGCATAATCTCAACTGTCGAGATAAATTATATGTCAACAAATAATTTTTTTTTTAAGAATTTGATTAGTTGTTTTGTGAAATTCGACAACATAATTTCGAATAAACAAATATCTGTTACTATGAGTATCGTCAAGTTGAAATGAAAAAAATGTATGAATAGTAATTAAGTAATCTGAGTAGAAACAACGTTTATATTGATAATAATAGCGAGGAAAAAAAAAATTAAAGTTTTCTTTTTATAAACTCAGAAGTGACAAAATAAATAAAGAAGAGAACAGTTACATAGATAAATTGAAATTACAAGTTAAGTCTATCGTAAAGAGAGAAATATAATGAAATGTTTTTGTACGCTCAATTTGGGTTTTAGATTCTGCATATTCAAAGTATCCGTAGTATAAAGTAAGTTAAGGCCTTCATCTCGTGACATATTTAATTGGATCTTGTAAATTGTTGGGGACGTTAGATCCTCAGAACTCACTTGGAAAAGAACCTAATTTTGTAATTTTATCTAGAAAATTTGTATTTCTTTGTTTTAACGCCAAAAGCGCTATTTTCACCTTCATGTTGTATTTCCCACTTGGGAGAATCTTAAACGTTGTGTCTTTTAGTATATTATTTTTTAACACTTCCCAAGGACAGTTTTGTGCTGTATATGTACGTTTTGATTTGTGTCTATTGTTATCGCTCTTGCTTCTGGCTTTTTGAGGAATATACTTCAGACTTTGACGTCTCTATCTAGTTAGTGAGGCTGGGACGCAATAGAATAGCTAGTTTATTGGTCTTTGGTAACAAGTCTTTGTTCCGTTCGCTGTCTAAATGAACTCGTAACCGCTTCAAAACTAATATAAATGATCTTAAAGGGTGAATCAGAGACGAATCGTTCTGTATCTAATAATTTTCGTACAAACGATGATATTATTAACTTATGTTGATCGTTACTAACCCACACTGCTGAATGCTCCGAAATATGACAAACAGAAGTGACCTTTACCTCAGTCAATCATAATCAATTTAGAGCCTAGCAAAGAAGGACTTTGGCCCAAGTTTGGATACTACATTAGCACGGCGAGATGAAAAATGTATGAGTAGATGAAGGGATCCGAATTATGTAGTAACAACATTGGCCATGTAAATTCACTTGGTATTGTTTTGCTTGTATCTTCCCATTGAGGTTTAAGACTGCAGTTGATCAGTCTGTTATTGGCATTTCACTGCTAACCACTATCCATCTTTGATTATATTATCCATGTAGTTTGAAAATACATAGTGGTAAACTGTATACGAAGATATCCAAGATTGCGAAGGGGGGGGGTAAATAGTTAATATATCTGTGCCAGTGTGGATGATTCTGAGTAATCCAACCCAAAGTCTCTAACCATTCGCCATGGTTAATGTATGGACTCCAAACATGTAGTCAGCATTTACCAACATAGCTATAACCAACAGTCAATAACTTTATGGATTGATGCTATGTCCTAGTTTGTCTGTTCACTACCCTACTTTTAACTTACTCCTGTATCAGCAAACATTACCTGTCGTGGTAAGTAGTAATTAACCGTATGATTCACTTACTTACCTAGTTGTACAACAGTTGGTGAATCGGTATTATTTATTGCAATACCTGTATATTGGTGTAAATCCATTCTGTGTAACCAATTGAAAATAATCTTCTCTTCATTCAATCCATTGACGTTATTTTAGAAAAAAATTGATATTTTTTTATTTTTACTTTTGACTACAAAAAGCATTTTGTCTGAAATAGAATTCACTAATCTAAATTCAACATGATGTATCATTTTGAAATGTATCAATTAAACAAATTGAGTTTAATTTTTGATGCCTAAATTGTTTTCGCTTTACATTTAATAGTGCAAATCTTTCAAAAGCTGCTTGGGGTGCCTATGAAAAATCAAAAACTCAATTGATGATTCGTTCATATGAATTGGGTGTGCTGTTTTTGCCAACAAATTATAAGGTTAGTGTTTTTTTTCTTGTTTTTCTCAAGCTATGAGTTATACGATTTTATGAGTTAGCTTTTGTGATTCGTAGGTGGAAAAATTGATAAACCGAATAATAAGAATTTTTAATTTGGATCAAAAAGATAAATACTGTTGAATGAAACTATCGAGTAATTATTATTTCTTTGTAATATCTTGTTTACATATATACACATAGTTGACAATTGGATCTACATATCTGCTCATGGTTTGTCATTGTTTACTGGAAGTAAACAGGAAACAACAAGAGATGACGTTTTGATTTGAGCTTTTATTCTAACATGAATGTCAAATTTAGCTTTAGATTTTTTTCTGTTTTGTATTCACTTGATAGAAGTGTATTTTATTGAGAATTACATAGTTGTTCTCGGTTACGGTTAGGATATTATTGTACATTGCTAAAAATGAAAAATAAATGTGTATTATTAAGTTTAAAGGGTATGTGTTCTGTAGCTGGGAAGCGTACCTCTTAAAGTAAATAGGTCATCTTCTTGCTCCTGTGCCAACCGAAAATTGTTAAGTTGATCTTTTGAATAAGTCTGAAGTAGTTGTTACTGAGATCCAGTGTTTAAACTTTATTTACAAGTGTTGTTCATCGAAGTGCTTCACCTTTGTATACTGCGTTTTTCCTGAGGCGTAATAAAAATTCCGAATTAAAATGAAACTTAATTTTGAAAAAAATTTCAGGAACCATAATAGTTGCTGACTAAATTGCATGTTCTAATCGGATCAAGCAAATGCTTATGATTCACTTGTATTTAGCTTGCTCTTGTTTATTATTTATTTATTTAAACACATAAGCATTGATACGTGGAGGCACCAAATATATATGGGCCATACTTCGTCATTTGTGTAGGGGTTGGAATACTTCCCGGGGCTCGACCCGAAGCCTTTAACCTGGAGGTTTAATCCACAAAGCAGTGGGGCGACGTTAGGAGATGCAGTCTCATGGTAGCCGTTGACCAATAACAGGTTCATACACCATTTGTCCCTTCATGATCCTGGAGCCTATGTGCACCGCGGGTTTGGAATCAGGGTTTTCCAACTGCCCTAGATAAATGCTCCGTATCAGCCGATCGGGTTGAAGCACCAGACATTTGCTTTTCGTTCTGTCAATTTCTTAAACAACACCCTCGCCACGAGAAGGCAGCGAGTAAGACTTCTGTGGCATAACCTTCTCTTTTATGTACTCTCATACTGTAAAATAAAAGTTCTGATAAACGTGAATTGAATAAACAATTCACAAGTGGAAACTATTTATTTAAGGTAGTTTGCATTCATTTATGTTAATTGATCAATCTTTCTAATTTAAAATTGCCCATAAATATGCATTAAAATAAGTATAGAGAAGAGATCTTGTCATAATATATTTTGTTATTTGAAAGAGATTCTGATTTATTTTAATCAGTCAATTTATTGATAAAATACCGATAATGTTTTACTTTTCAATGAAAAGAATCAATTAACTCATTTGTCAGAAGGGGTTTGTGGAGATTTTAGAAATTTTCACAGATTTAAATCATGAGTCATTTGAAGCTAGACCACCATTGAAAACGTGGAAGCACTGGACGGCCGTTTCATCCTAGTATGGGACTCCTCAGCAGTGCGCATCCACGATCCCGCACCACGCGGGTTTTCAATGTTGGTCTAGCTTCAACTGACTCATGATTTAAATCTGTGAAAATTTTTAAAATCTCCACAAACCCCTTCTGATAATAATCATCTGCTCACTAGTGACTGACTTCAAGAGATACTCCTGGAGTTCTAGTGGGAAGCCGTTACCAGTGGAGTTCAACCAGGTCTGTTGTGAGATATCAGCTCACTGAAGACAATGGTGTACGGTGGCGCGACTTCGTGGATTGGTTGAAGTTAGACATTAACACCGTTGGATGCCGGCTCAGTGGTCTAATGTTTAAGTGCTCGCGCGCGAAGCCAGTAGGTCCTGGGTTCGAGCCCCGGGTGGTGCGGGATCGTGGATGCGCACTGCTGAGGAGTCCCATACTAGGATGAAACGGCCGTCCAGTGCTTCCAGGTTGTCAATGGTGGTCCAACCTTAACTCATTTGTATTAAAAGTTCAGTGATTTACTATACAATCATAATGTTCAACATACTCTACCCGGTTATTTATTATCCTGATTTTCAATTTTTAACATTCAATTATATTTTTTCTATCATTCTATTCAATGATTTCGATTTTATAAGATTTAGTCTTTTCTGTTTTGTCTGTTTCAAAATGTTTATCGATCATTGTAATAAATGAATTGTTTTGTATCCTATTTGTTCCATGATATTCCTGATAAGTAGTAGTATTGTAGTGAACGAACAATCAGATGGGGAAGATCAAGTTTTTGTTTAACGCACAATCATCTAGTGATTTAGTTAAGTGTGAAAATCATATATCATTTATACATCTTTGAATTGTCTCTTACAAGATTCATTGTTCCGCCATTCCTGTTGTTATCCTAATTGTTATCAGTTTCCTTCACTTTATTCTTCATTTGAATCTTCTCAACTTTCTGTTCACATACATTCCACTTCCAACTAGTGTTGCATACTACTTATATCTGAAAAAATAAATAACATACATCACAGTACTTTTATTGAAAGGTATTAATTTACTGTTCTACGCATATTTACTATTGGGCACCACATTTATTACATTATATCAATATCAAAAATGTGAAGGTCGTTTCTGTTAGTCTAGATATCATCTAACATATTCAACATTATAATCTCTTAATTTTATCATTCTAATAATTATACCAACATTACAACATTACTGATTCAATTTAGAGAGATTAGGGAGTTACAGGTAGTTGATACTGATATCTGTTAAAATAAGATATAAATGTTATCGTCTTTCTTTGTTGTTGTTTAATTCTATTTGTGAGTGAAATGTTTTTTTTCAGAGTGAACAAATTTCAAATCAAGTCAGGGAACTTGGTGAATATAGTGATTTATCTCCAAGGTGGTTGATTATACCGAGATAACACTAGCTGAAGTGTTGTGCTTGTTGAGATAATTTGTTGTCCTGGGTGGTATCTCGTGTGGAATATTACTTACTCATTATTGAAGTAACTCAAACTTCATGGACATAACTAGTGTATGCCTACTGAATTTCATTTGATTTTCACCTGACATCAAGGTTCATCTTTAATATCTAGAGTGTTTATTCTAGTAAAACGATTTTTGTTATAATCACATTCCAACGTATTTTTTTTGGATTTGTGTGCAACCAGACGAACGACTATGAATTCATTATTATCCATTACTTGTCAATTGATTTACTTACTTTGGTAAACATAAAGAATACTTCTGAACCAATCAAGGATAAGTGAATCACTTCATGGTTACGACACCAAGCATTCAAGCGTGTTATTTAGCTAATAATAGAGAAATATGAATTAGATAGTGAATCCCAATATGATGATTTCGAGTAAAACGAACGTTATTGGTTGCTCAGAAAAATGCTGAAATGTTCAAGGAGATACTCTCATGTGTATATATTATTTAGGATGTTACATGTAGTGCTAGGATGTTATGGATAATGCTAAGGCTGACGTTAATAGTTTTGTTGTATATAACCTAACTTTAGATTTCGATCCCCTCTCTAAAGTTTAGGAGCTAAGAGCCTATGACCAACTTAGAAAATGTCTTTATTTGTTGTAAAATCAATATATTCTCGGTAAATTCTACCATATTTTTTGAAATTGTAAATTAGTTTTACTTACAGTTTCGTGATTGTTTTGAAGTATGTCGAGATTTCTGAGTTATTCGACAGTATACTGTAGGTTTAACCTTAATTATTTTCTTAAAACCAGGAATCAGCCCATTCATTTGAAGTTTTAAAAAACAATGCAAAATATTCTCAATCATCAACTGATGGATTATTACCCTTTCCTATTCCATATGAATTACCTCCAGTGAAATACCAATCAAACGGTAAGAAATTATACATTTATATCATCATTTTTGTTGTCACAAGTGATATACTGTAAATAATGAACATCAAATGCCTTTCATGTCCGACTTTCATTTCATTTTTCACACTGTATTTTCTTTGTCTTTTTCTTCATAACATACTAGTTCTTGCAGATAATGTCTACTAACTAGGTGATTTTGTTGTGGGGAGACTGATCAAGTTTCCTTAACTCTGCCATGATCTAAATTATTCATAAAATTCTTAAGTCTATACAAGACTATCCACAAAGCATTCAATATATCCTTGTACTAAATTTTAGATGATTATATTAAATTTTCGTTCGTCCATTCACTCAAGCAGTTAGAGACACACAACGTTAAACCTTGTACCTGTGTGCATCAGCTTAAATTTTCACACCTCATTAACACAACTCATTTAAATTGTTAGGAAAAATCCCAGAGTACTAGAGGTAGTAACCGTATTAGTGGTAATATGAGAAATTAGACATTGAAGATACAACTCAAGAAGAAAATATAAATTAGATAGATAAAAGAAGTTTTATAAGGAACTTCCGATCTAAGGGAACATAAAGCGTGAATATATCTACACCACTAAATAATTTGTTTAGTGATTGGGGTGATCTGCTATTTAGCTGAATGATTTTAATAGTGTAATGTTTTCTTAACATTTCTTTTTTTTCTTTTTGGAAAATATCACCATCACCCAGGTCATGTAAAAGCAGGATAGCATTTATGTTAACTGATATAATTAAGCTTATTATTATTTTCATTGGTTAACTGTCATTGAGAAAGCACTTGTGCGTAAACTATTAATCGTATCCATATTGAATAGTTTGCCTACTAGTTGATAAATGAAAACTTGAATCGTTCTAAGGATTGAACATTTTATTTATAAATGATCAAATCATTATTATCAAAGGTGACTATTTCTGTATTCGGATGTTGGCTAACAGTAGAGTTGTGAACACATGTTTTGTTTTACCTAGAAATCGTCAGCTCAATGTAACTGGTTTTTAACTATGCTAAGACTTGTAGTAAAAGGGCCATATTAAGGAATCTGTTCAGGATACACATATCCAAAATCTTGTCAAACTACAGCCTTAAATATTAACCATGGTGTAATATGCGAGAAACATTTATCAATAAGATGATAACTGTTTAATTCAAGTTACCATAGCTATACGTTTATACTTGCAATCCTGATATAGTTCAATAATAGAATGGTAATCTATGAAAAATATTGAGTATTATCAGAAGGGGTTTTGTGGAGAATTTAATAATTTTATAGTTCACTTCACGAGTCGTGATTGAGCTGAAGTTAGACATTAACACCGCTGGATTCAGGCTCAGTGGTCCAGAGGTTATGTGTTTGTACGCCAAACCGATAAGTCCTGGGTTCGAATCTCACGACGTGAAATCGTAGATACACACTTCTGAGAAGTCATATACTAGGATGAAACGGTCATTCAGTAATTTCAGATTTTCCATGCTATTCTAGCTTCAATTGACTCATGAATTCAACTATAAAATTATTAATGACTGTTAAATATCACAACATACATACTTAAGCAGAATTTAATTTTTCTATAAAATAATTTATCATAAAAGATGTTAGATAA